TTCAATGGTTATTTTTATTTATTCGAGTTTTCAATGAAATTCTTTCACTTTAACACTGGATATAAAAGAAATCTTGTACTGTTAACGAATCAAAATCATTCATGTAAATTTTATATATTCATAAAAGTACATAGATCGTAAAAAAATTGTTCGATTTTAGGAATGAAGCCAATGTCAAAGACCGGGACCGGGACCGGGACTAAAAAAAGTGATTTTGCAGTTCCCTAGATTTTACACACTTATTCCTGCATATAAGACACACCATACTCTTTGTAATTGATGAAATTTATTACTAAATTTATATCTTCTATACTTAACTGTATATTAAGTTTCTTCTGCATGCGGAACAACAGCATAATTCAAATGATGAACATACATATATATTCATGATGGAATCATTTTCGAATATACAAAACTTCTTGATCGTTATATTTCAATGTGTGATGATGAACAAGAAATTGTTGCAATTGATTTCAATGAATTGTTAAATATAAAAGATATAAATTTAGTAATAAAGTTAACTGAAAATGATTACAAATTATTAACAAGTTTCAGTACTGTTTGGCATAATCGAAAAAAATCTAATCATGATAGTAACAACAATAAAAGATCAGTCATGCAACGATAATGTAGAGAATGAGTAATAGTTATAATAACATGCAAGGATACTAACATTTTGAAATAAGATGAACGCAAAAAATTTACTCTCCTGTTGTTGTGAATTTAAACAAGTTCTTCTGTCAGACAATGTAAATCCTATAATACTAAGCTTACATTCCCTTTAAGTATTTATTTCTGGAATCCAACAAATCCATCAAAGTACTCTAAAATAACAAGACAATGCATTAACATTTGATTACTGAAAACATAAGAGCGAAGTTGAGAGTTCCGATCTATTATTTACAGTCATGAAGATATGATTGACGTTTTATTTTTGTAATCAATCATCTTTATAAGTGTTTATTTTCAATAAAATATTGTTGCATATTTCTTACACAACTTATTAATCGATAGTGCATTTTGCATGATTAATTGGACTATCTAAAGTTCTCTAATAAAAGATACGACATTATAACTTTATAACAATTATGAAATTCAATAAGATTTTAAATTTTCTCAATCTCAGATTTATCATCATTATTTGATTAAGCCTAAATCTAAATATTTCAAAAAAAAACAACCGAAATTATTCATGTATCTTCTCCGTCATTTTATGTCTGTTCGACATTTAATAAATTCTTAATGACTTGAGTACCAACAATAACAAAAAAAAAAAAAAAAGAAGAAAGTAAATAAAGCATGAAGTCTAGTTTAAAAAAAATTGATGTTATAGTTTTATTTAGTTTGTATGCAGAAAAAAAAAATGAACTATGTATGAATGTCCATCATATCGGCACTTGTTTGTAATTCGCCTTCAGATGGTTTTGCAACATGAATTTTTTCTGGATACATATTATCAAGTACATGTATACCTTTTGAATCAATCATTCGTACGAATACACAATGTGGATAAGCTGCCATACGTTTACCAAGTTCATTAACCATAATTTGTAACATAGCTAATGCTTCTTGAACATCTAAATCTTCTTTCCATAAACGATCACCAATACCCAAAGCAAAAAATTGACAAAAACCATGAGCAACAACATTAGCTGAAATCATAGCGCCTAAATAATCTATTGAATATAGTTGTACACGTTGTTGATCACGTTCATTTGTTGAATAACCTCCAATAATAAGATTAGCTAAAAATGAATTTCGTGAACGAAGTGATGTTGCCATTTCATGACGAGTAAAATTAGCACATGCATATGGAGATAATTCAATACCATTGATCATTTTATATAATTGAATATTTTTACCAACATATTCTGCAAATTGAACAACATCACCTGGTTCACCAGCTAGAAAACAAAAAACATATTTCATAGAAAATAATTAACACTAGTAAGGGAATCATCCGAATTAATAATTAACGTTTAAATTCATATTACACGCTTATAAATTCGTCTAGGTGAGACCACAAATAGTTTGAATGATTTTTAGGATATTTTGAATTGTACCTCAAAAACTACTTAGAGTCCTGTGCAATTCACCTATCTTTTGAACGGTGTGCTGGAAAAATGTCGAAAAAAGAAAAATAAAAAAATAATGATGTCTCCAGTATATGGCGATTCTAATCCCATTTAGTTCATTGTTTTTTCTTATAATTTTACTAGTGTAGAATTTTAGCCAGTATTGATATGGATGACTAACTATTAATACAAGTAAAATGAAAGAGTTGAA